GCGCGGAGGCTGCGTGGGCGCCACCCCCCCATGGCCCGTCCTGTGCAGGGCTGCGCGCTGGCCCCCGGGGCGGGGGGGGCGGGGACTGTGGAGCCCCGCGGCGCTCGGAGCCGGGCAGCTCGGACCCCTGTTTGTGGGTTGGGAGACTCCTGTGGGGCTGAGCTGGTGCTGAGTGACGGGAGTGTGCTGGGGGGGGCTGTGCTGGGAGAGCTGTGTGGGTGGTGACTGCGGGGCTGGCGTGCTCGCAGCTGTTGTAGCTGGCCCCCGGGGCGGGGGGGGCGGGGACTGTGGAGCCCCGCGGCGCTCGGAGCCGGGCAGCTCGGACCCCTGTTTGTGGGTTGGGAGACTCCTGTGGGGCTGAGCTGGTGCTGAGTGACGGGAGTGTGCTGGGGGGGGCTGTGCTGGGAGAGCTGTGTGGGTGGTGACTGCGGGGCTGGCGTGCTCGCAGCTGTTGTAACAGAGAGGGAGCCGCGTTCCTCTGAGCTTGGTTTAAAAAAAAGAGCAGCCCTGTAGCTCTGTAAAGACGAACAAGATGCTTCATGAGGTGATGAGTTTTGGCGGGGCAGACCCGCTTCTTCAGATCATCTGAAGAGGGGAGTTTGGCCCGCCAAAGCTCATCGCCTAAGGAACCATGAAGCTATTGTGTGTGCTAGTCTTTGGAAAACGGTGGCAGTTGGGCCAAGTCATCCACCATCTGTGCAGTCTCCCTCATGTCGCCAGTGAGATGTGTTTTATAGAAAGTAGCTGTAGAGTCTGAGAAGTGGTTGGTGGCGTGGTCTGGTACCAGAGTGGCCTAGACTCTAGCAGGATCAATTGCAGTGGGTGCAATAAAGTCAAATGGCAGTCATTTTTAAGCTTTCAACCAGTCTTAGTAATGATTGAGGCTAATGATAGCGGGAACATAAAGAACACTCAGCCTGCTAGTAACTGTTTCAATTGCTTCATGCTGACACAGCATTCTAGGCTCCTGATTGCCCATTGTGATCTCTTAGTATAGATTGAGCAAAAATTATGCCTGAAACCAAATGGGCAGGCCTGAAAAGAACAGAAAAGGCTGAATTCTGGAGGTCTGGTCTGCTGTGTATCACTTTTTTTCACACACTTCCCTTTGAGTTTGTTACTTTGTAATAACTTTTTTGTTAGGAAGAGATTAAACTGTTCTAAAATGGCACAGTGTGGAAACAAAATTGTGAACTAGTCATGAACTTGCTTGTCTCATGAGAGAGCTGGATCCTTCTGTCTTGAAGGAGAGTTCAAAAAGAAGGAGTTGATAGAGTCTACTAGCTCTGCTGTGACTAAAGAGAGAGGCTTAAGTTGAAACATACATTTTTCAGCTTCTTCCTTACAGTTGGTGTGTTGCTAGAAAGTGAGCACGTGTGGCCCTATGTGCCTTTCTATGGGGAGGAGGGATATGAAAACAAGGGTGACTAACTCTTAACAGGTTTCCATCCTGCCTCCCTACAGACATTGCAAGCTGAAGAAATTTCTGTGTAAACAAAGTTTGAAAGGCCACTCTTCAGTGATCAGTTTGGGAGAAGCGTAGTTGGCTAAGCTATCAGTTTCTGAAGAATTTAAAGTCCTGGTTCTAGCCTGAAAAAAAGGACATGGTGTTGCAAAAGTGGTATGGCCTCTGGTACTTTACTATCCATGTTGGACAAGAAAAGAACCTAGATGGATTCTTATGCCAAGTTGATTTTGTGGAACTGGCAGCTGGAAGAAATGTCTTACTTTTGAAGTTGAAACAGTTGATGTGTGATATCATTTAGAAACAATGAACATGGATTACAATGCCATATTTAAGCAAAATGGAACCATACTTCTGCAATAGCGGAAGAAGTGGATGCTATACTAGCATGAGAGTGATCCAAAACAGAGTTTGGGGGAAACAAGCACACAGCCATCATCCTCATCCTTGCAGCAGCCAGGAGCTTGAGAGAGGCTAGATCAGAAAAATGCTATCACAGTAGACTTATAGGTGGAGGAAGAAGGCTCCTTTTCAGCAGTCAGAGAGAGCAAACTCAAGATACTTTTCCAGAGGCTGATGGAGATGGAGTTCAAGGTACTAGAGATGGCATGGGAATGTGTGGGATAAGGTTTATCCTTGCTTCTTTTGTTAGTGAGGAAATCCTCCTGTCTTCAATGTTGGCCTCTCACAAGTTGTCTGGGTAAACTGCTGAAGCCCAGAGTTCCAAAGGTTAAATTTCTTCTAATAACTATACTAGTGATAATTTCTTTTACTAAAGGAGTCATTACTTTTAGAATTGTTGACTTTAATTAAAACCTCTCTTTAAAATATAACTACCCCAGCAGAGAATTTCAGTCATGTCTGAATTGCAGGGAAACATCAGTGTGGCTTACTCTCTCTGATTTAATCCTTTTTTGTGGGGGAGGGGGAAGTTAAAAGTGGACTAGCACTTTGGTATAGTTGCGTATGGGCTCAGAACCTTTCTTCAGCATTCTCTTTAAATTCTTTAATGTATTCCTTTTAAGACTTGTGCCTTATAACTTGATAATTTAGTTTTAAATATAGATTTTGTTAGCCATATCTTCTCAGGAGTGTATAAAGGAAACTCCTATTTATGGTAGCTGCAGTAGTATAATTGACCTAATTATGGTGAATTCCTTTTTCTTTCTTCTGCTTGGTAATGGTGTTCTGGTATGCTTGGTATTCAGTCAAAGCTACTTGTGGTAACAGAGCTCCAACGCCCTGCAAGTGTTGGTTCTTACAACAAGGTATTCAATGTGTGTATAAAGAATGGTGCAGGAAATGGGCAAGCAGTGTAATGCAATTGCAAACTCTATGTAAAACGGGTTATTACTTACAGGACTTGCTGTGGAGGAGCTGATCACTATGTCCTACCTTTAACAGCATAACTTTTCTAATATTTTGTTTTGAAAACTTAGAATTTGTGAGTATAAAAAGTGACTTGTAAATATTATAGTGGGGAAAGGGTGCATATTTCTTGTTTATTAAACACTTGTAATGTAAGCAAAACTTGAAGGTTCAGAGTTCTGCTTTCATACCTAGCATAACAGGACCATGACTGGGGCCTTTAGATGCTATTGAGATATTAAAAGCTCTTATTGCTTTAAATAATTAGTGTATTTCAGAATTAACACCAGTACATCATTGAACTTGCAAAATCAATTGCATATCTGATTCATTATTTTAACCTGTAATTGCAGAAATACGATTGCTTGATAAAGTAGAAGTATAGAAATTATTTTCTGACTTCAGGAATAAATATGTAAAGACTTTTGGTTCAAATTTTTCTGATACTTAACTTTCCTTTTATGACTCTGTGTAAAGAGAAGACCAGATTTATTTCTTGTGAACCAAAGTCCATTTTCCACTGTGTTTAATGCTTCTGGGTTTTTGTATCTCTGATTTTTGTGCATGTTCTGAATTGTCAGCTAATTTAATGTAATTGTATAATTTTGGGAGGATAACGTAGTTTCTTTTTGTTAATTTAAATATTTTTTTCTGTAGAGTGAATCACTGGTGGTTTGTGATGTTGCTGAAGATCTGGTGGAAAAACTGAGAAAATTCAGATTTCGAAAAGAAACCAACAATGCTGCCATTATAAGTAAGCTAAAATCATTGCCAACAAAAGCTAAAAGGTCTTAAAGAAAATCTTTGAACATTTTCAGCTGCTGTAGCAAAATGGCATGGACTAGACTTCTACTATGCTATTAACTTTCTTGTTCTCTCAATAATAAAACAACATTATTTTATGATATGGAATTAAAGCTTTCAGAATCAAAGCTATCACACTTGCTATTAACAGAAATACTTAAATCTTTAAACACTGCTTAAAGTGGAAAAAATCTACCAGAGGCTTCAGGTGGAGAGAAAACTAAGACTTGACCCTCTTAGGTTTGAGTATATTTGACATTCTTAAAGTAGATTATTTTGATTTATAACAAAGTTTGCGGGGGGAGAAGTCTTGACCATGCTGAAGCTGAAATTCCCATTGACTTACCCTGGGGCCAGAATTTCATTCATTGTCAGAAGAGGGTGGGGGAGAAGAGGAAAGAGTCTGAAGTATAAGATGATGCAAGATGTAAATAAAAAGCTGAGCATTCAATGCATGTACTTCTAGAAATTTGCAATTTCAGCCTTCAATTTTAAAAGGGGAGGGTAGAAGGGGGAGAGAGCCTCCCTAGATGCACAATTTACTTATGTTATGTTTTTATTATAGTGAAGATTGACAAGGATAAGCAGCTGGTGGTACTGGATGAGGAGCATGAGGTTTGTTAAATGAACTGTAAATCAGAATATCTTCAGTTTACCATGTGTTGTTGCTTCTGAGGTATTGCCATAGTGTGAAATTTGTTAATCTTGAACATCCTTCAGATATATGATACATTATTATTGAACTGCACTGGAGTAATTGTGTTGCTACTTTTCCAAACAAAAAGGATTAAACTTTAAAATGTTAATTTTCATTCAAATATAATTTAATTCTGCAAAATCTCACCATTTGCTGGAAGAATTTGTGCTGAGTCTCTTGCGGATCTGCATTCTGGACTTTGCTGATCTGACATCAGTTAGAAGTGTCTTAATCCCTGTAGAAAGCAGGAAATAGAGTTATCTCAGTGTGTAATGTTGGCCCCCAGACAACACAGTCTTATGCAATAATTTGAGAACTTTTGCCTCTTTCTCTCTCTCTCCCAGAATGTTAAAAATATTATATTTGAAGAGAAGAGTATTGGTCAGTATGAATAGTCAGGCTTGTTCACTAGTCCAGGAACTAGTCTCTTACAAATGGAGACAAGTGACTAGATTTCAAGATCTGTTTGTGTTGCTGATTGTGTTGCTGATTGTATCATAACTTGCACACTTGTGTTCAGTAGCAGAGATTACAATGTGTGGTGAGTGTATATGTAGGACTAGAATAGGACCTCAAAACATCAGTTTCTAAATTAATAAGGACAAAACCAGGGATTTTTCATATTAACATTATATTTCTTGTATAAAACTACTAAAGCAGTTTAGTAATCAATTAACAGTGGAATCTTCCTATGACGGTTACAATAGGATTCTTTTCAGTTAAATTGTCAATGTGTAACTAAATTGTAGCAATGTCTCTTGCCCCCTGTACCCTCATACTCTAGCTTGTGTAGGTCTGAGTTCACCTATTAAAAGATTGTTTGTTTTTAATATTACTAGGGCATTTCCCCTGACGAACTGAAAGATGAGCTGCCTGAGAGACAACCTCGATATCCTTTTTCTAATGTTGCTAGCATTGTTTTGTTTACTGAAGAAAGAAAATCTAAAATACATTGGAAGCTGAATTTTCTATTTTTTTTAAACAAATTTGTCTACCGTGAGAATTTACGTGTTAATTCATATATTGACTAATTTTCATGATATCTTCTCTGGTCTCATTTCATTTTTTAGCAAAGACTTTTAGAATGGCATAGTGAACTCTGTACTTTTTAAGACTTGGTTACTTTCACACTGTTTTTGAATGGCTTTCAATCTGCTCTATTGCAGGGACATTCATCTCATTAATACAACAGAAGAATTTAAATTAATGCTTTGGCTATGCGTTCTCTATTTAAAGGTTAGCAAAACACAGGAAACCATCTGATGTTTGATGTGCAAAGTGTATGAAAAGAGCAGCACAGATTGTCTTTAGAAAAAGAAATTTGACTGATTTAGCGAAAATGGGTCATAAGCAGATATGTTAAACTTGGAGATCCCTGTGAAGGACTTCATAGTGAAAAGGACAATATTGAAAACTAGTGTTTGTGTGAATATTTTGCAAAACAAACAATATCTCAGATGGGGGTTATTGAAGCAAAATGCAGGACAATGTAGCACTTTAAAGACTAACAAGATGGTTTATTAGATGATGAGCTTTCGTGGGCCAGACCCACTTCCTCAGATCAAATAGTGGAAGAAAGTAGTCACAACCATATATACCAAAGGATACAATTAAGGAATGGGGGTTATGTTACTGAAAAGCAGGGTGAAGTCTCCAATGGCTCAAATTCAAATTGGAGGAGAAACTGGGATGGGAGCAAGATGAAACAGTACAGAAACGTGAATGTAAGCATCTTTTAGAACATATGGCAAAAGGAGATTTATTTTTTGCCTATATCGAGCTCAGCTAATGAATGCAAGGATTATGTTCTAGGACAGTGGTCCCCAACCGTTAGAGCCTGCCGGGAGCCAGGGGGTGTGGCCGTTCGCCTGCTGGGCGCCAGAGGGCGGGGACACATGCACACCCAGGGGCGGGGGGCCCCCCCCATAGCTGCGTGCTCGGGGCCGGGGCCCCCCCAGCGCCTCCAAAT